ATAATAATAAATAAATAAAATAAACATTTGGAATTAATCAATAAAGTTTCAATATATTACCATATCTTTGAACCTTTTGAAGATGGGTGGCACCCTGAATCCCCAATCTATGAATAGCATGCGAGCGTGGGTTTATCTATTAGCACTTGTCTGATGGTTTAGTCAATTTTTACAAAAACTGATTATTTCACCTTTAGTCTAAGCCCCTATTTGACCTCCATTAAGTTAGGAGCCTGCTTGTTTCCCATTTTTTATAGTAAGAATGCATTTTAAAATAATAGATTGATAGAAAATGTGTGATTAAAAAATAAAGTAAAAATTCAAATTTGCGCGAATTATTATTTTATTGAAGAATATGTTGTTGGAAAAAAAAAAGAAAAAAAATGTATTTCAAGAAAAATGAGTATTAAACAAGGGCTAAAACTCATTCTTTTTAAGCTCATTTCCAGTCACACATTCACACATTAAGAGCTTTTTTGGGAGGGATTAAAATCGGATTAAAATTGAAAATATAGCTGCTGTTGTTGACTTTTATTAGGTGGGTGGGATCCAATAACGGTTATATTTTCAATTTTAATTGAATTAAAATCACTCCCAAACAAGCTCTAAGTTCTTGTTTGATCCCTATTTTTTACAAAATATATTTTCCCCTCTTCTTTTCAATCACACATTTTCAATAAAATAATATTACATACAAATCTAAAATCTTTCCTTATTTTTTAACCACATATTTTCTATCAATCTATTATTTCAAAATGTCTATACCAAAATTGGGCTCAAACAGGCCCTTAAAATATTTTGTATATAAACCCAAAAATTTTTCTTATTTTTTTTATCACACATCTTCCAAAAATTCATAATTACGAAATTCATTTATCCCAAAAAAAAAAACTCATTTTAATGGATGTAAAATAATGGCTAAATGACATGAATGGAAAAAATGAAAAGGTAAATTATTGTTGTACATCACCATTTACATAATATTTTACATGTTCATGATGTGTCAAAAAGAAAGTGAGAAAGTTTTATTTTCTTATTTGGTTGATGAGATCTTGATTCAATCAAATCTCGTCACATTATTTATTAATAAATAAATCTATAAATTGTGATGTACGTGTAGCACAATTGAAAAGAAAAATGTGAAACACCCCTCCCCTGAGTTTGGGACACTGTCACATCTTTGCCGCTACCAAACGCTGGTAGCCGATGATAGTCACCGGCGGGTAGGGTCATCGGTAGAAATTCGAATGTCAAGTGTCAAAAATGCTTAGTCCTTCCAACATATCTACCCCAAATTCCCGAAATTCTTCAGTTAATTGTTGACAAACTTTATGATATTTGGGAAAAGAATTCATATCAATTGCCATTCCATGTCTCTAATAGATCGACTTTGAACGGAGATTCTCTAAATTGGATTTTTATTTTTTATTTTCTTATTAGTCTTATTTTTTAATATCAAAGAGTTTGTGGGTATTGAAATGACATTGTTCGAGCATCCTTTGGGAGTGGCAAGGGGTTGATGAGAATAGATCCGGCATTTGGCAACAAGACGGGGTGGAGCGGGTCTGGGGATTAAAATACTATCCCTGCTCCATTGGTGATTTGTGGGAGGTGGGACGGGAAGGTTTTTTAAATACAATTTTAATTGAAAATATAAAAAAGAAGAAGAAAAGATTTTGGACATGGACCATGTTCCTTAGCCAATGGGGCGGAACGGAGGCGAGTCCTTTGGCTCCTTCGCCCTCGATTATTTTTAGAAAAATAGTCCGTTATCGATTTTCATGCACACTATTCTTTTATTTTTCATCTTTTTAATACTAAGCTTATCAATTTTAGGAGGTAGCTAACTGATTATATTAAAAATTGTGTGTGGGCCCCTTTCATGTGAGGGAGGTGTGAAACATTGTGTACACATAACATTTCCCTATATTAAAAACATCATCAAACCAAATCTGCAAAAATATTGTTAATAATAAAACAAAATATGTTGCTTAAGCAATATTGGGTAGACAGAGAAAAAATAGTTGTCAATTTGACGATGATCATATTGTTCCTTTGAATTGAAGATCGACTTACAATTTGTTTTCGACATCGAACATTACAGAACATAAGCAGTATCTTCAAATAATCATCCAATGGAAGAGATAGCCCCTGTTTGAATCACATTAAAATGTTCGTTCTCATTCTTTTACTCATTTTTAACTACACATTCTTCATTAAAATAATATTTTTTTATCACAACAATAATTTTTTCTTCTTTTTCAACCACACATTCTCCATCAATCTACTATTCCAAAATATATTTTTTCAAAATAATATGGCTCAAACACACCCATATTTGAGAAATGAAACGAGGGTTCTAAAATGAGACAGGAATAAGCTGAAAAGACGTAACGATCAACTCAAACAAAAAAAGTTGATTTGGATTTGAATTTGAATAGGAATGAATTTTGTTGGAAGGAGACACACACCAAACACCAAAAAAAGTTGGGGACCCTTGAATCCAATCCTGATTCCCATGAATTTTATTATTATTTTTCCAATCTTTAATTCTTCGACATCATATGCTGTCAAACCAGGAACGAAATTACATGGAATTTGAAGACAATGTGGGGACAAAAAATAACAGTAAAATCTTTGGAATCCCAATTTCTTGGTTTCATACATGCCACTATTTATTTGATTTACCCAAAAAAAAAAAAAGAAGAAGAAAAGGTCTAGATCACTTGACGGGGTCGATTCAAAAGGGAAATAGTTGAATACTATGCTTACAAAAAATGAAATGAGTGTTTGTCTAGAGCCGGAATAAATGTGCAAAGATAAGGATGAGATATCAGATATGAGGTGTATATAAAGTAGAATGTATCACAAAATAGTAGTAGAAGGAATGTAAGCCGTTCAAAATGTCGACATACAAGTCAGTAATTGTAAATAGTGCATATTTCATAAAATTTGACAGTTTTATTTCAATTAGATCCCGTTTGACGCACATTCTTTAAAAATACTTTCTGTCAAAACTCATTTTCAACCTCACATTATTCAGTAAAATAATATTTTTCATCATATCAATAACTTTTTCTGACTTTTTAACTACATATTTCTCATCATATCACTATTTAAAATACATTTCTTTCCACAGTAATATCCACACACCATTAATGCGCGATCTTAAAAACCCAAAAACCTATACTCAAAATTTCTCCCTCCATTTCCCCCCTAAACATTATTTCATATTGAGTCCCCCCACCCCACCCACCACCCTACCCTACCCCACCCCACCCCACCGCACCCAAGCCAGCTTTGCCCTTCGGATTTTTACCCTGAACTAATCTCTTACAACATGTAAAAGCCTAATTGGAAATAAAATTCGGTAAGTCCAAGTTAATGGCATGAAAGCTGAAAAGCACGCTTTTGTTGGAAATGTGAAGTTTAGGTCCGATGGTAATCATCAATTTAGCAACGGTCTCCAAATCATCAAAAAGCAACCTTCTATTCTAACGAATCTAACCCCACCCGACTTTGTTAAACCCTATTCAACACGATTATACGTAGATAAGCATGTTTAGCATTAGTTTATAATCTGGTTAAATTATAAATGTATGAGCAGAAAATAAGTGAATAGTACGATAAAATGTGTGAATAAAAATAATTTGACCAATTATAAATAGGTGTCGAACAAATACTATTTATTCCTTTAATTTTTGGAAAAAAAAATGGTCTCGTCGGATAATAAATGACGTGTTCGACATAAAATATACGCATGAGGGATTTTGAGTGAATTTGGACGTGAAAATGGGAATCTAAACCTTAAATTTAAGGATCCGTCTCATAAAATTGATACAACATTATGCGATAAGAAAGAAAATGTAGGTAACAACGAACATTAAAAAAAAAAAAACAAATCACATATTAATTTTCAAAAGTAAGCCCCTGTTTGATCTATATTATTTTTCTCATTTTCATTTTTCGACTCATTTTCAACCACACATTCTTCAATAAAATAATATTTTCCATCACATCAATAATTTTTCATTCTTTTTCAACCACATATTCCCCATCACATCAATAATAAAAATGCATTCTTACTCCAAAAATGTACAACAAATAGAGGCTAAGACTTAATATTTTTTGTTTTGAAGACTTTGGAATTTAAAACAAAGATTAATAATTCAAAACCTGTGATATTTGAGGGTTGTTTGTTTTTTATTTGAGAATTGATTCTCAAATTAATTCTCATTTTCAACCACACATTCTTCAATAAAATAATATTTTCCATCACATCAATAATTTTTTCTTCTTTTTCAACCACACATTTCCCATCATATCACTATTCAAAAATCAATTCTTCCCTCAAATTTTTGATTCGACAGTAAATCAATTCTCATTTTCAACCACACATTTTTCAATAAAATAATATTTTCCATCACATCAATAATTTTTTCTTCTTTTTCAACCACACATTTCCCATCATATCACTATTTAAAAATTAATTTTTCACCCCAAAAATCCCTACCAAACAAGCTCTTGATAAGAGGGGAATAAAAATTTAAAATCATTTCAAAATGATATTTAAAAAAAAATGGAAATTAATTTTTTAAATATAAAAAATAAATAAATCCATGTTGGAGTTGGGTGATAAATCAGCCAATTGGGTGAACCATCAAGTGACCAATAATAATAAACTAGTATTAACTGAATCCAGTGGCATAACTGAAATAATACGCCAAGTGCAGGGATCTTATGGTCACAAAAGGGATAAAGTTCACTGGACAAAGATTTGAAATTAGTGGCCGTTTGAATACACAGTGACTTCAAACTTCAAAACCCTCATACCCCCACCCCATTCCTCTTCAAGGCATTGCGTTCAAAAACTCCAATCTTCAAATCATATCGCTCAAAATTTATCCAATAGTTAGCACTCTAGGGAGAGAAAAACCGTTCAATTTCATAGACAGAGAAAAACATTCGATTTCCTAGAGAAAGAAAAGAAAGAGAGAAAAATGGCAGGTATGGTAATGGTAACAAGGGGTGGTGGATGTGGTGGCGGTGTAGGAAATGGGAAGAGCTCAAAATCTGCTGCAGTTGAGGAACAAAACAATCAGGAACACCAGCGGCAGCAGCAGCAGCTCTCTTTGCTGGATTTTCTTATATCAGCTTTAAGAAAATCCATGGTGTCGTGCAGGGTGGATAGGCAGGATGAGATGATCACCACCGTTCATCACATGGAAATCGGGTGCCCCACAAACGTCCAACACATAACTCATGTCACTTTCGATCGATTTCATGGATTTCTGGGTCTCCCTGTTGAGTTTGAAGTTGAAATCCCATGTAGAGCTCCCAGTGCCAGGTTTGTCGAAAGGAATCAAAATCTCAGCTTTTTTTTCCTTCTTAAATTTCATTTTCTTGATCTGGGTTTTGTTCTTTAATGTTGTTCGAAAATATTTGCTGTTTTCTTAGCATGTTTAGCTGCGGTTAAAAGCATTTTTTTTTTCTTTTTTGGAAAAGCACCTCCAAAAAGTTGCTTTTTAAACCCAGCGAAACGGTTCTTTGTAGGCCGTCTTAAAATTTGACAACATTTGCTGTTTAAGTCTCTAAGATTTCCTCCTCCATTTTTTCTCTATCGGTTTAGCCTTTTACTGTGTTTGAAACATTTGCTTTTTTGTTTTGTGGGTATTAATTTCAATTTCTTGATCTGGGATTTGTTCTTCACTGTTGTTTGAAAGCGTTCACAGTATTTTGGGCGGTCTAATGTTTCAATTTTTGGATCTGGTTTTTGTTCTTTAATGTTGTTAGAAAACATTTACTGTTACCGTATTTTAGTGTGGTTCAGATCTATGAACTCTGGAAAACATTACTGCCTTCTTTAGCTTGATAACGACATGTTTAGCTGTGCTTAAAAAGCCAGTTTTTAGCCCCTTGTTCAATTCAAAAAGGAATCCAAAAGCGGACTTTTAAGCACGGTGAACATATCACTAGTTTTTTGATCTATTATTTCTTGGTTTCCAATCATTCAAACTCATCTCTTGCCCTACAAACGAACCTAATTACAAAGTGAATCCGAAGTACAACTTAAATCTTGCCTGAAATTAATGATTTAGTTTTCGGTCATTATCTTCCGCTGTTTCTCCTACCTGTTAAATATAACATTAATGTAGAATAGACTTGTCATAATTATGTAATAGGTCTATATAACTAATACACAAGAATCATGAAGTTGATAATTCAGTTCTTTTAGTGTCATGGGCCCTTGATATAATTGCAGAAAGAGAACTTTATTGGTTCTTTAGGCAACCTAGACTTTACAGTACTATATAATATTCAAATGTACAATAATTAATATCTTTTTCATTGTATTTCTAGTACTATGTACCAAATTTACTTTACTTTAAGTAATTAATAGCCCTAGTTTCGTTTAGATAAAAATCAGATTTTTGTTAGAGTTTGAAAGAATTGATGAAATATGTTGTTGAAAAGTTGATAAAAGTTGTGGATTGTATGACATGTTTGGTTGAAAATGAATTTGGAAAAAAAAAATGAATTTTAGAAAATAAAGGCCAATCGGGGGCTTAGTGTTACCTATGGTGTATGACTTCCATATTACCAGCATATGACTTTCATTGTCATCGATATAATATGGATAGCCATTGTGTTTTCTGTTCTTTTTCTCCCTGCTTATGGAATTACAAGCTTAAAACTGTACAATTTGTATGCAGTACTCAGTTTCTTAATTACAAATGATGCAGTGTCAGTGTATTCGGTGTATCAGCAGAATCAATGCAATGCTCTTACGACACAAGAGGCAATAGTGTCCCAACTATACTTTTACTAATGCAAGAAAGATTATATGTGCAAAGTGGTCTAAAGGTATGAAGAAATTCTGTAGTATTTTGTGTTTTCTGTTCAATGATATTGGAAATAATGTTGAGGAGGCCTGCGATTGGACTTTTTGCAACAATTTTTTATAGGCAGAAGGGATTTTTCGGATAAATCCAGAGAATAGCCAAGAGGAGCATGTTAGGGACCAACTCAACAGAGGAATTGTGCCTGACAACATTGATGTCCATATTTTAGCTGGTCTGATCAAAGCTTGGTTCCGAGAACTCCCGTCTGGTGTGCTTGATGGGCTTTCCCCAGAAGAAGTGTTACAATGCAATACAGAAGAGGAATCTGTTGAGCTCGTAAAACAACTGAAACCGACTGAGAGTGCATTGCTTAACTGGGCAATTGATCTAATGGCTGATGTAGTCGAACAAGAGGAATTCAATAAAATGAATGCTAGAAATATTGCTATGGTTTTTGCCCCGAATATGACTCAGGTATTTCAACAAACCTTCTAAAATACTTCTTTCTGAATCTTTATGGCTTTATGGTGAGGTGGACTCTAGAGTCTAATGGACAATACTAAAGAAGAAGGTATAATCTTATTCGTTGTAATGTCTAAGACAGTCCAGTATTACATACCAAACATGCTGCACCTTAGTTCATTATCTAATTGCAGTCTTCTATATTTGTTGTTTGATCAAGATGTCAGATCCATTGACGGCTCTTATGCATGCTGTTCAAGTAATGAACTTATTGAAGACATTGATCATGAAAACGTTGCGAGAACGTGAAGAGGCAGCAGCTGGAGGATACTCTCCAATGTCATCACGTTCCTCCAATGGGCGAACGGACGAGGAATATGAAAGCCAACGAGAGATGGATACTAGCTGTGAATCAACAGGACCAGCATCTGATGACGATGATGAGCCACCCCATTACAGCACCAGCAGTGAAGACAGAGATGAAGTTGAATCACTGAGCGAGATAGAAGAATGCTTCTTAAGGCAATTGGACAAGAATGAAAATGCAAAAAATGGCTTTCGGAAACAACTAGAGGGAATTTTGTGTAGAGAGCAAGTGAGTCCTGGAGGTGGTTCTACATTCAATGAGGATTCTTGTGTTCCATTATCCGACAGCAAGACAGGTAGTTCCTGCCTGAGCACGGAAGAGGGAGAAGATTCAAGAGCAACGAATGGACCGGTAATATCTGCAGCCGTAAAAAATATAGATATGTTAGACAATGTGGTAGAATCTCCGTTCCCCCCCAAGCAATTGTGTGTTCCTAGTTAACTTGTTTGGCAAAATGCTTTCAGTTTCTTATGGCGTAGTTGATAAGGTCTACTGGACAGTAGTATTAGACACTATTAAGGAAGACTGCACACCAAACACACCTCATTGTGTCAGAGGTGTCTCGGGGTTGCTGAATTTCTTTCATAGGCACTTGTTTTTGTAAATTGTTGTTGCAACTGTCAGGCATTTTTTTTTCGAAAAACATAGTGGTTTGGTTGTGGTGATTGTAAGACACTGTTCAGTTCAGGGCTGAATTTGTGCTTGTTTCTTTGCTTTATCAGCAAAGGATTTTCTATTTGATCAATTTATTTTGGCACGAAAAAAAGAAAAGTTCGTGATGAAGTTACAAGCTGATGGATTTTTACCCTTGATTTCTTCTTTTCAGAATGTAATTGATTGTATTGAAATTAGGCTAAAAATTAACATTGTGGAATCCCATTGGATATAGGTAAAAAACATGTAAAGTAAGTACTGTTATAAGACTAGACAGGGCATTAAAGTAAGTACTGTTATAAGACTAGACGGGGCATTAAAGAAAAAGAGACATATTCATTTTGTCAACCCTTATTTTGTACGTCTTTCTTTCTTGAAATATCTCGTGAACTTGAATTCGTGTCCAATCAGGGTCGGCTCTAAAATTTTGAATGTCCTGTGCGACATTTTAAAACGGTGTCCCTCTTATGAAATTAAAAAAAAATATTCAATAATATTATATCATCACAAAATTATGATCCTTAAATACTATTTAATTTTTTAAATGTCGCGAATAAGAAAAATACGAATAAAGTTCAAAAGCGCCTCTCAAACTTCATCAAAATTCATGTCATCAACAAAGAATCATCCAAATCCCTAAATTTTTCGTGCAATTCCATATGAGAAAACCTTGAAATCAAAAACGTCAGATACCTCGTGTAAATTTTGAAATATATCAAATTATGTAAAAATATTTTGTCTTGCATTTCTAGAAGCAAACTAACTAATTAAACTTTCGTTTCTAGTCAATCTTGTTCAATAGATATCAAAGATATTATAATATGGTTGATTGTAAATAAGTTTTTAATAACTTCAATTTAAAAAAAAATTCAGCAGGTTCAACAATAACATTGATATAAGACGGTATTAACAATTTCCCTCGATGGTCGCTACTTAACGCACGCCCCCCAAGACGTCGACCCCTCGAGGGTCCTCTACGCTCACAGGGGCCGTCTACCACTATGAGGCTCGATGGTCACTACTTAACGCACGCCCCCCTAAGACGTCGACCCCCCGGGGGTCCTCTACGCTCACAGGGGTCGTCCACCACTATGAGGCCTATGGCGTCGACCCCCACATACTTAGCCAAATAAATGGTCGTGAGATAAACGAAAACCACCCAACAGCAAACGTGACCATGACCAACCGCAATACAAGTGGGGGTCAACACTATAGAACGTGAGTGAGTGGGAAGGCATACGTGGGACACGTGGCACAGTTAATCGTGGAACAAGGAGGCGTGCCATCAAGTGCTATAAATACCCCAATGTGGGGAAAGGTATTACTTCTTAAAACCCGAACTATCTGAATTCCAATATTATCTCTCCATATACTCG